CCCCGCAGAGGCATCACCTAGAAACCCGCTACAGGTGTCCCCCATGCGGCATCTGTAGCTGATGACATGTGTTCAGGTGCTGAGGGGTGATGTGCCTGCAAGGTGAGATAGGGTGGATCAGTGCCCTCAGAGCAAGAGGAGGTGACAACACCAGTGTACGCTCCTTGCCCCGGAGGACACCCAAGAAGACAGTGGGAAGAAAACCCTTCGAGGACCTGGGTCAGACAACCTCCATCTCCACCTCCACCTCAGGCTGCCGAACTGTGGAGCTTAGTGCTCAGGTGCCCGTGGTTCTCCTTCACAGCCTCACCTCAAGTGGGACACCTCAACCGTAGCGTCCCTGTGGTACCCCTGGATGGCACTGCTGCAAACTGAGCTTAACGAGCCTTAAGAAAACGAGCACACAGAACCAGAAAGAGGACACAGGTATTTAAAGATAATGTGATTATGGCTGTGACTACCAAGTGTTCCCACCAAGAGTTTAGAGACCGTGGGCACAAAACAGAGTAGCAGGCCTGGGGTTGCTCGCAGATGTTCCCGGGTTCCATGACTTCCTCTTTGAATAGAGGTGGTGGAAGGCTCAGAACCACTCCTGGGTCTGGCAGAGCCCTGGGCTGCTAAGCAGGAGCCCTGGGGACCTGCAGCAGTGTGGACAATGGGGAGCACGGGGTACTCTGGGTGTAGCACCCAGACTGCCTACTCTGCTGCTGTGCTCCCTAGAGCCCGTGGGTGTCACGGGAGCACGCAGATGGCTGCCAGGAAACGCTCCCAAGTGACGCCTGGGGTTGGGCAGGCTCCATCACCGGCAAACCTCACCCCAGCATGGCGCTGGGAGAGGGCAGTGTTGGCAGCATTAGTGCAAGGCTGGAGGGCCCCAGGATGGGCTTTCAGGCGTGGCTCTTCTTTCCAGCAGAGCAACAGTGACAGAAAGGCACGTGCTCCCAAGGTTACCACAGTGGAAACCCAGGGGTTAAAGAGCTTGTGAACATTACAGATAGGGCTCCTCCAGCTTTTGACACCTAAAGGCAGAAGGTGATGGCTCCAAACACAAATAAATTCTTGATTTTGCATTTGTGTTTAAGAACTAAACTGTGTGGACAGGGGAAAAATGAAAAGGAGACTCAGCGACCAGCTGCTGCTGGGAGGTGGAAGAGGTGGGCAAGAGTGGAGACTGATGTGGCAGTGGGGATGGCCAAGAGCTGGCCAGCCTGGCACGCGCATAGGAGAGGCAGGCAGCTGAAGCAGGACAACTGCAAGGCCCAGGTTCTGGTCCCTGGACTGGGAAGTCCAGGCCCAACTGGGATGGTCAGGCCTGCAGTCTTCTCCTTACTCTGCTCAGACGTCTCTTCCCGATGCCAGGGACCTACAGGCACCCAGGCCAGAAGGCACCAACAGGAAATGCAGCTCCCGGAAGGCAGTACCCACAGCTCCAAGTCTCCACTAAGAAACAGGAATAGAGGATCTGGGGGCACTCCTCAGGAAAGGGCAGCCAGCTGTAGGGAAGCGGCTTCAGTGATCAGGCAAAGCAAGTGCTATCGAAATACAGGTGTGGTAGGGCAAGTCTAAAACCCAGCATCCTGGGAAGCTGAGGCAGGAGAATTGCAAGTTCAAGCCCAAGATGGACAACTTAAGAGATTTACCAAGATTCTGATCAAAGGAGCCTGGGTTCAATCCCTAGTATCACAAAAGAGAGGAGAGAAGGAGAGTGGAGGGGAGAGAGAGGCTAGGAAGGGAAGAAGATAAAGAAAAAAATTGTTAAAAGTCAGAGAAAACTGTAATAAATACGTGAGAGCAAAGGCAATTTTAAATCACTAGAAGAATATAAATACAGAGACAAATGTGAGTCTAAAAAGTACAGCTAAACTTTAAAATACCGGAAAGTAGGAACTAGAAGGACTAGCTCCTTTTAAAGGAGTAGTGCTCCAATTTGGATTGGACCATGGAAGCTGAGCTACCAGGACCCAGTGCGGGCCTTCCGGGGCATCATCCCTGTCCATGTGCTCCCCACCAGGACGCACTGTGCTGCTGCAGGCCCCAAGCACCAGTCCAGGCAGCTTTGGTCCGGAGCTGCTGACTCCTGAGCCCGAATCCACTCTTAGACCGTTGAGGTGGGCCTCCTCCAGTACTGTGCTGCAGCAGATGAACATTAAGTCAGGCCCAGATAGACAAAGGGGGAAGAGGAAACAACCAGAGAGCAATCCAAAGAGATCTCAGAACTGATAAATATGCGTTTCTGGTTGCAAGGCTTCCAAGGTATCTAGCACACTAGAAAGACCTAGCACCAAGACCCACCACTGCAAATGTCTGGACCCAGGCCACAGATGCCTCCCTCAGGGCACACTTTGTTAGCAGCAGTGCCCAGGAACAGTGAGATTTCTCCCTGCAGCTCGGGTCAGTGGAGCAGGGTGGAGGGAGGGTCAGCACACAGGGCACCCCTAGAGCACCCTCGCAGGACCACAGCTGGCAGCAAGATACATGTGAGTGGAGCATGTCTGTGCTCAGCTCCTTGCAGGTATGGCGGCAGCCACCAAGCACAGAGGATGGGGGAGGGCAGTCTCAGCAAACGCAGGGCCATGGCATGGTCGGAAGGGAAAGCCTGCGGTCCTCCAAGATCAAACAGCCTGAAATTCCTCCTTACCACCACAAGCCAGGGAAGAAATGACCGACTCCTCGAGAACTCCAAAAGGACTTTTCACTGGAACTCTGTGCCATCAATTCATCAAGCATGAAGGGGAAAGGACACCTCCAGACAGCCTCAAAATTCACCGCCATCCTAGCCCACACTGGGAAGGAAACGGGGAAGTCAGGCAATCAGGTGAGCAGCTTGAGGGCAGAGGCACCAGGCTGCAGCTGTCTCTACCATCCCCGGCCAACAGAGGGATGTCCTAGGTCCTGGGCAAAGCCAAGATGACCAGACAGAGTGTGTAGAGCTACATGAGGTAGTGTACAAAGCAAATTTTTAAAAAGTCAATTATTAGCTCCAAAAAAGAACAAAAAGTAATGTAGCACATGGCTCACTATAAACAGCTCTGCCGTAGTCACTCACAGAAACACTAAATGTTGGTATCAAAATCACACTGCATGCAGGAGTGGGAAGGGCAGGAAAGAGAAAAGAAGAGAGGAGTCATTTAGCACTTCTGTCCCAGATGTGCATCTACAGCTGAAAAACTGAAGTGCTTGTTTCTGGTTGGGAACGCTGGACGGGGGCTGTGGGACAAAAAGACCCCACTTGGTGTCCATGGAGCTGCTACCGAACTCACTGGGACTGAATCCACAGGATATGAGGTGCAAATGGCGCTGCCTTACTAAATGCCACTGAGCAGGGAAAACTCGAGCATGGGCAAGAACGCCAGAGTTGTGAAGTCTGTGCAGTGAGTTGACCAGGGTCACAGCCCCCCACCCCCATCCCACGATGCAGCAGCAGTGCAGGTGGCAGGGAGGGAAAGGGCTCCAGCAACCCATGAGGACTGAGAAGAGAGAAATGTCACATGAGGAAGATTCAGAGCTTGGTTCTCCAGGCACCAGGAGTGTTTCCAGAGGCAGTGCAGGTAACAGATGCTGACAGGGGCAAGGGATAGAGATCCTCCATGTCCCTGTTGACAGGTGACATTTCCAGTGGGCTGGGGCATGATCAAAAGCTCCGAGACGTTCTCCCTACAAACTGTCCGCTCTGGCCAGCTGCACTGGACACGCTTCCTCCCCGGGCTATCCAGGTCCTACACATGGTGTTCTCCCATTCTCCTCAGTCACTTCCCACAGCTCACTCGGCTCACCCTGACCCCTGAGGATGTGAACACACCACGGCTAGTCTCCCCAGGGTCTCACAAGCTCCCATGTGCCTTTGCCCGTACACCAGCTCACACTGCAGCTTTTACCTGGATGACTCTCAATTCATGATCACCTCCTACCGGGCCAGTGGTGCTCAAAGTGGCATCCCCAGAGCACACCAGGGGACTCACAGAATCTGTCAGATATGCGAATCTCAGGGTATGTCCCAGCCCTGCTGAACCAGAACCGGAGTGGGAACCAGCGACCTGCGCTTTGAACCCCCCTGCAAGTAACTCTGATGCACATTCCAGAGGGAGACACTTTGCACCTGGGTGTGGGTCTGCACTATCACGGCGGAGCCCTGGCGTTTGTCTGCAAAGGAATGGTGGGACATGTCCATAAACCTTGACCTGTGAACCCCAATCTGAGTCTAACCTGAGAGGGACCCCCCCAGCTCCAAATCAACACTGCTGTCCAGTGGCCGGGTGCCTGCTCCAGCTGCCGGTGGGCGGGTCAGGGCGGGACTCTAGCTGTGCAGTTAGCATCTTGTGACCACTGCATATTCTGTTATCCTAGTACCCTTGTGCTGGGTTGCTGAGATGTGGACCGTGGCCAAGACAAAAGTCACACCTGTACCCACAGGTGAACGCGCCACACACAGCATCGCTGCCATGCTAACTGGCAAGGGGTCTTTCTCTTCTGACTGGGTCTCCTCAACCCCCACACTCGTGTCTGACTAGTGCTCCCCCAGCCCCCAGCAAAACTACTGGGCACACACCCCGCAGCAGGCTGGCGCTCGGGCGGCTGTGCTGGCTCGGACCAGTCGAGGCCACCTTCAGGCGCAGACCCCGGCCCAATCAACTCTAGGCAGCAGGTGGTCTCCCTACCTTCTTCCCCGGAGCCGCTGAACTATCTGAAGCGTGGTTTCGGTGCCCCACGAAGTCTGACCGGCAGTAATTACTCCTACTCCCGAGCCCTTCCTTCTTCAGCCAGACAACCTCCCACCTCGGCGTCCGCACCAGGCCTTCCCTCCTGCCGTAGGAACTGCATCCCAAGAGTGCCGCGGCGGGGACACCTGGCGGGGCGTCGTGGGCCCGGCCCCCAAGGGAACACTGCACCCGGCGCCCCAGCGACGTGGACGGCCGGCCCCCGCTGGAACTCCAGGCCCGAGCGCGCGGAGACCCAACCCGGGCCGCGGCTCCCCCCCCCCCCCCCGCCGCGAGGCCACTCACAGGCGACGTAGGCGAGCAGCGCGAGGCCCAGCAGCAGCTTCATCCTCCGGCGGCTGACTGCAGACCCGAGGCGCATCAGCGCCTGACTCACCATGCCCGAGCGCGGGCGGCGTGCACAATGCGCGCCCGACGCCGCGCCCGCCGCCGGCTTCCTCGCGGCCTGGCGTCTGCGCACGCGCCACCCCGCCCCGTCGCCGAAACCCCGCCCCACCACGCCCCCGTCAGTCCCTGCCGTCCACGCAGGCGCAGTGGCGCCCGCTCGCCTGGACTTTGGGCCAGGCGCGGGCGTGGCGCATGCGTGTGCGGTATGGTGCCCTGCTTGTGTACCGTGGCGTGGAGGCATGGTGTGCGTGCGAGGTTGGGCAACAGTGTACCCGGGGCTTGGAAGTCTGTGATCAGCTCTGTGCTGCCGCAGCTTGGGGTCCCTCGCAAGTCTGTGGGATGCCTGCGTGAAAGCCCCAGGCCACAGAGGAAACTCATCGCTGATCCTGCCATCCTGGCCCACTGTGCTCCCTTCAACCTGAATTCCTTTTTAGCCGCGTTAGAGACCTCTAAAAATAATCACCTAGCCAGCGCAGATCCCCAGAGCACCGGTGCTGCTGTGCTGCCCTCCCGTACCGCCCGCCCCACCCAGGGCACCTCCCACCCTCAAAGTCAATCAGTGAACCCAGCATACCTGAGCAGTCTGCCCATGGCAGGCCCCAGGAAGCCCAAAGCTTATAGCTCCGCGGTGCCAGGTGGCAGCACGCCTGGTGTGGGAGCTGGGAGCTCAGGTCCTAGGGTCAAGGCCTGAGCACTGTGCTTCTGCCTGAGACCCCTCCTTTCCTCTGGCTGACCTCTGGAGGAAGTAGAGCAGGGTAGGCCCGCAGGCATCCTCCCAGCTCCTGCGACCTGTAGTTTTCAGGGTGAAGGTGGAGGGCCCAGGAGGCAGAAAGATTCTTGCATGCCCACTGGAGGGGCACCAACAGCTGAACTTCTAGGCAAATTCCAAGCATAGTAGGTTGTAGGTGGCCTCTCCTTGGTGCATATGTGTCAATTCAAAAGGTTAACGTATGGAATATTTACCTTTTCTGTACAAAACTCCCTGAACCCGGCCTTTCACTTGGAGTAGTTGTCCTGCCCCGCGGAGGAAGCCATGGAATGCCATCTGCACTGCCACTAGAGTGGCTGCTGCCGTGGTTGCCACCTCGAAGGCTGTCAGTGTCCTCAGGGACTGACTTCCTGCTCACCTTTAGCCAGAGTTGGGCTGAGGAACAAAGGGGAAGGGCACAGTGGCAGAGATGAGAGGCCCGGGCTTCTCAGGAAACCTTGGCTTGGGGGCACCGCCCTATGGTCCTGCTGTCCCTAACTGCTGTCCTTGGCTCACCCCTGCGTTCTTCGAGGCACCTGTTAACAACAGTATTTTTGAGCAGTTGCTAGTTACAGTCCCTCGAAGCTGACACCTGGGCTAATTAAAAAATGACTCAGCTCCCGGAGGGGAAACCAGCACTTATGAAACCTCACTGTGTGCCAGGGACTGGGCCAGGCACAGCCTATGGAGCTCAGTTCATTCCTGTCGAAGCTTGTGGGGCAGGGTTGCTATTGTTGATCTTTAAATAAATAAGACTTTTTAAATAACATTATTATTATTATTTGCTTTTTTAAATACAAGGTTTTGCTATGTAGTTCAGGCCGGCCTTGAACTCACTGTAGCCCAGGCTAGACTCAAACTTGAGATGATCTTCTTGCTTCAGCCTCCCAACTGCTAAGATAAAAGTGTGTGCCACCTCAATGAACAAAAAGAGGTGTGAAGATGATATTTTAATATATAAGATGACTCAAGCTAGCGAATATACCAGTTACCCCACAACCTTATTTTCTGTGATGAGAACATTTAACATCTACCCTGAGCAGTTTCCGAGTTCACAATGCATTGTGATGAGCTGTCAACTCCATATTGAGTACAGGATCTTGTGAACTGATTGCCAGAACACCACCTTAGGGAGCAGCCCTGCTCCTCCACCCTGTACCCCCATGATCACATTCTCTGTGTGGCCTCTCAGAGCTTAACCTTGTTAGATTCCTGAGCACTGCATCTGGCTTATTCCTCTCAGACCACGTTCACCCATGTGCCCTTGATGGCAGGATTTTTTTGAGTAGTAGTCCTTATATGCATAATCACCTTTTCTTTAGCCTTTCCAGTGTCCATGAACACTGAGTGCTTCCTCATTTGTGCTGCTGTGGACAATGGCACTGAGCACAGGAGAATGGACAGCTCTGTGAGACCCTGCGTTTCTTCCCCTGGGATGTGTATCCGAAAGGGAATTGCTGGAGCTGCCCAAGCCAGTGTTTAATTTTGGGAGGGACCTCCTTGTGTCCCCTGAAAGGTGGTACTGATTTGTGTGGCTACTGACTTCATTCAGTGGGGCAGCAGAAGCTCTCAGCATTTGGTTTGTGGCCAAGGTCACCAGTCACAGCTGCAAATGAGGGCCAGGCTTGGGCCACTCTCCCCATGGGTAGGACACATGGCTGTGGGCCTATTCTGTAGTGAAAAATGGCTCCCCTGCCCTGTGCCAGGGTACTTCAGTTTCTTGGTTACCCAGGTAATATAGTTCCTCTTCCAATTCCAGGTGCTCCTGTCTCTTAGAAACGGCTGGATGCTGTGATGCACAGCTGCTGGTCACTATGATGCACACTGTATAAACCAACCCCCAGTGGACAAGTCCTACCTCTGCACTGCCTACTTGCTTATCTCATATGAGCCCTAGACCAGCAGAGATCAAGGCCACATATTCTGGGAGTTGTCCCAGTCAGTGCCCATCAGTGAAAATAAACCCATGTCCAGTTCCTGGGTGGCATTTCAGTGTTTCTGTTCCCCTGTGAAGTTCATGGAGGACTGTGGGGAACGCTTGCTCGCTGTGGTAGAGGACTGGCTGAGGAACTTTTCAGGAGGACGATGTGCTTCCAGGGCACAGAAAGGAAGTCAGGACATTTCTCATTCCTGTCTAATGAGCTTCCTGGTTCACTACTGGGCTGTGCTGTTCAGAGTTACATCCCACAGCTCATACTTACAGCCTGCATTTGGGCTCATAGTGCAGGGGTGTGCGTGGTCCTGTGGCCTTATGGTGGCTTCTTCTGCAATGCAGCGCTGTAGTCTTTGCTGATTGTACTGTTCAGCACTGTACTGCAATTTAATGTTGCTGTACATTACAGTACTGCAGGTAAGAGCTCTGTGCATGAAAGCACAGTCACCCAGCTGCGGCTTCCTTTGGCCATTTCTCTTCTCTGAATACTGTAATGCACATACTATACACATTCCTCATGTATCAGCAAATTCATGTAACAAACCTAGCCACAAGAACGATATTTGGTCATTAAACGGGGAACATCTGTATAAGATTCCGATTCACAGGCCGGGGCAGGGCACCCACAGGAAGTGGCAGGAAGGGGCGCCTGGCAGGGAAGACTCACAGGGGATGCTGGGTCCTTGTTTAATTGGAAGAGCAGACAGGAAGAACCGGAGGTATGAAGACCCTGGAAAGGGAAAATCTCCAAAGCCCTGTGGCTTCAGCTGTGCCCCGGTGAGAGTCACTTTCTCTGCTGGCTTCTCAGCCTTCACCTGGGCTGGGGGACCTGGCTCTGGACTCTCCTGGGTCTGGGCAGGTGCATACCACCATGCCTTCCAGCTTCCCGTTAAGTTGTACCCCAGGAAGCCCTGGTCTAAAGATGGATGGCTAGGAGAGATATGCTCCCCCTCTGGCTGCTCCAGCATGGCTGTGACTGCAGGAGGGAGGGGTGATTCTGACTCCAGCGCCCCCAGGGTCCTTCTCTGCCTGCAGGCCTTCCCAGCTTCTGGTCTCTGAAAATCACATTTGTTTCTCTTTACTTCTCCACAATCCTTCTCCTTCTTCTGACTTTTCTTAACACTGCACACATCTTTGGAGTCAAACCCCTATGTTCATTCTCTCCTGTTTAATATACTTGTGTTACTGGAAACTGAGTTAGATATAAATATTATAGGCAGTCAGACAGGGCTAGGTCCTCGAAGGAGCCAATGAAGAAGCCCAGATATCAGGACTAAGGATTTAGCTCAGTGACACAAGTGCTTGCCTGGAAAATGCAAGGTTGATTCTTGGTACAAGAAGAAGAAAGAGGAGGAGGAGGAGGAAGAGGAGGAGGAGGAGGAAAGAGAAGGGAAAAGGGAAGGAGAAAGGGAAGAACAAGCCTAGGTACCTTGCAACTTTGGAGAAGACAGACACCTTCTGCTGTGGGCCAGGCCTCAAGACAAAAGATCAAGCAAATGCACCCATATCCTAAGGACTGGTATTCTAAATAGGTCTCTATCACCCTGCAGAAACCAGAAATGACCATCCCAATCCCTGCTTGCTGTGTGACTGACTTCCCCATTTCTTCCCGATTTAATCAATGTTACCTGAGAAATTAAACTTATTGGTTAACTATACTTCTGTCCTACCTCATGTCTGCCTTGTGAGTTCCTGCGTTTTCCTCACCTTAGACCTGTCTCACTTTGTTTTGCTCTGTAAAAGACCCTAGAAAAGAGACTGTTTGGGAACACACTTGGGACCCTTCTGTCCCTCAGACAGAAGCTTTCTTTCTCCCAATGAATTATACTCTGCTCTTAACCTCCATTGTTCCTATATTCGTTCTTTGATTTTAGAGAACACAAACTGGCATGGGGCATCTAGCAGGTTGGGAGCTTCGTCCCCCTAAATCACTTGGAGCAGTTTTCCAGTAGACCTTGCTGGTCTCCGTCTAGGAGATTTGAAAGGGAGGGTTGGTCAGGGTCCTTTCCCGAGCTGCCTGGCATGAAGCCAACCCTCCACCCTGGCCAGGGCCCCACTGGTCTCCTGCTGGTGACACAGGTGACCACAACATCCGCACTGTGGTCCCTTTCCCAGGTGCATTACTCCCTGGCCATGGTTCTTAGGCGAGGGGTGGACACTGCCAACACTTGAGGCTCTGGAGCTGTGTGACCCAGCATCAGGGGGCCAGTGAACCCTACCACAGGCTGAGGTACATTGGTCTCATTCAGGCAACAAAGCTAACTTGAAAAGGCAGACCCAGCCTTCCCCTTCTCAGGGTTTCTTTTAAATGCACTTTTAAAGAACGACTTTAGCGTTTTATAATAAAGGAGATTTCCCATCACCCCACCTCGTTTCCTTGTTATTAACATCTCGATTCCAATGGGATGCGCTTCCCTGCCTATCCAGGGTTCATGTACTCCACACACTTGTGGCTGCTCATAGCTCAGTGTCTTCGGAGTTCCACTTGCCAGGCTGCTGCACTGTGGAGCCACGGTCCCCGTCTTCACCGCATCTGGGCAGATGCAGCCTATGCCACCCACACGCAGGCCGCAGGCCGGGGTGGGTGTGCTCCCTCCTGAGCTGGGGAATCTATGCGGATTAACTGGGAATTTCCCTGCACAGGGCTTTTTCTCCTCTCTTCTCGTGATTCATCATTTATGTCAGTATGCACTGGTGCATATTTATTTGATAATTTTTTGTCCTTCAGATTGTTCCAAAGCCTCCATGGTGGTGCACACCCATAATCCCAGCACTTTCAAGGCTGAGGCAGGAGGATCCTCAGGAGTTTAAGGCTGGTCTGTGCTATGTAGTGAGTTCAAATCCAGCCTGAACTACATAGTGACACCCTGTCTCAAAAAAAGAAAGAGTTCCAACTTATATGGTGGGAGCTCTTGCAGTGGCTCCTGTACCCTTTAACAAACTCCCATCATTGTGGGAATTCTCTTTTATTTTTGCCTTGTATCCTCTTCCTATCTGGCAGACAAGACACTCCACGCTTGTCTTGGCTATTTCCTGCCCTTGCCCAATCTCCAAGGATCTCTGCCTTCCTTTATTAGGGAACAGGGTTAGAAACCAGGATGGGGAGTACAGTGTGCTGGTACCGTGTGTGTGTGTGTGTGTGTGTGTGTGTGTGCCAACCTATAATGACACACATATTAATAAATATTTCCAAAGTAACCAAGTATATCTATATGAAAGGTTATTATTTTATTTTATTATTTTTTTTATCGGTACCGAGGATCGAACTCATGACCACTTGCTTGCAAGGCAGGTGCTTATGCCACTGAGCTAAATCCCCAGCCCCTGAAAGCTTATTTTTTTTAAATATTGCAATAAAAGACCCATTGCCACACCTCCGCTCCACACCCGCAAACAGTCATGCGTCACTCTCACCCCTTTTGGAAGCAGTTTTGGAGTCCTCTTCTGTGGGTGTCTTTAGTTGTGCTGTGGCAGCTGCCGCAGTGTTTCACTGTCTTTACTGTGACTTTGGGGAGGAGCCAGAAGTCACCATGTGCCAGATCCGGTGAATAAGGTGGAAGAGGGCTCACTGGGATGTGTTTATTTGACAGCAATTTCTGTAAATGCTTTCAGTTGATTGAGGACAGCCAGGCAGCCACCCAAAGACACTCAGAAAAGAGAACTTCCAGGATTGTTTCAGAAGCAGTGGAGGATGATGGGGAAGTGCGTCTGAAGTGAAGGGGACTATGTTGCGGGAATTTCATCACAATGTGTCTTTTAGTAAAACATTTTTAAATTTGAGCATTCACTTTTTATTTGGGTCAGACCTTGTAAACAGAAGTCCTGCCTGTTTCTCCAGCTCTAATCCGTCACCTGGGTTGTTTTGGCCTCTTCCCTGTTTATCTGTGACTTCCAACCCCACCACCTGCTGTCCATTTGCCAAACTGTTCAGCTTCACCTCTGTAGCAGTGTCACTTCAGAGTCTCCTAGAAGTGGTATCTGTGCAGGCTTCTGTCCCTTCCCTTACAAATGGACACACACCTGCACATGTGTACAAATGCACACACTCACACCCCACTGCTCCCTTTCCCTTCCCTGCCCTCTCGGCCCTTGGCAATTCTGGGATCCCTGTCTGCTCCTACCTGGGGACTCATCTTCCCTTGCTCTGTTATTCCCAACGGCCTCACTGTTCTCACCTGGACTTGTGATTGAAAGTGTCTTCCAGAGCAAATCTCAGTCTTTCCCTAAACTGTACTTGGTTGTCACCTCTAGAGTGCGATCCCCTGGCTGGCTGTGAAGCTCAGCCAGAGCTCCCGCCTGGCACGCACAAGGGTGTTTCCATCCCTTGCACCTGAAAAAGTCCGCCTGAAGTCCATCAGGAATCTGGGTTTTCTTCTGTGGGCCCTGGAGACACCCTGTCAACCAGGTCTAGCTGCACTGTCCAGAATGGTTCTCCACGGCCCCACTGCAGAGCAGGAGGGCAGGCAGGAGGCAGCTGGCCACTGTGGTGGAAGGGCAAGGTGCGTGGGGGTGGGTATGTGGGTGATCGAAGAAGTAGAGCAAAGGAAGCCCCAGCTGATTGCAGACACCACGGGGAAGGAGTCAATCACACTGGGCTCCAGAGTCCCTCGCTGGGAAGGCAGTTCCCTTCCAAGTTCCCAGGGAAGATAAAGGGCCTCCTCCTGGAAGGTGTCACATTGCAGTGACCCCTGCAATGGGACTCAGGGTCAGCAAGGAGGCTTCAGATGAAGGCTGTGCCCTTCAGAAGCTCAGAGACAAGGACACTCTGTACCTGGATCGCAGGAGGGGGCTGTGACATTAGGGATGACTGCAGAGTCAAGGATGAGAGGGACATGATGCGGGCAATGACTCTTTGGTTTTTATGGCTCTATTTACAAATTCTCTCCAGTTCAAGACGTTTGTGGTGAGTTTGAAGCAATAAGACCTCCCAGGGCAGAAATAAATTTCAGCAAAATCCTGCGTATCTTATCATGTAGGCAATGTCTTTCCTTGTGTAGTGTGAGGCCAGTCCTGTGTGAGGGGCTAAAATAACCCAGGACCTGGGATAGAGCCCAATAATAAGGCCTCCTTAAACCAGGGATTTAGTTTAGTGGTTCAAGCGCTTGCCTGATGAGTGAGAAGTGGTGAGTTCAATCCCCCGTACTAAAAAATAAAATAAGGTCTCCTTAAGCCTGGCTGGGGATTTATCATGGTGACAGGCAATCGGGGTCCGTCAGTTCACTGAGGGTGAGGACTCAACACAGCTGGGTCAGCCTCTCGGACCTTAACTTTCCTTACAGCTTAGGGCCCAGCACAGCCCCAGCGTCAGAGCCTTAGAAGCAGAGCTTCTGCCAGCGATAAGACATTTGGGTAGGAAGCAGAGATATCTATACACCTTACTTCCCTCCGGCAGGAAATAGTCACTGTATGAACTGTGCCTGTGTGGTCAGAGCTCCACCTGCCAGCTCTGTGGAGCTGGTGTGGCCAGGAGCAGGGTGGGGTCACAGATGCTGTGAGGTCAGAGCAAGACGGGAAACGCCTGTCCTGCAGCGGACACCGGGAGCCACGGTAATCAGATCTGCGCTGTTTGCATTTCCAACTCGTGACCACTGCCACGGAGACACTTTGGGTGGGCCAGCAGCTAGTATGTGATGAACCTCACAGCTGAGGGCAGAGCCAGGCTGTAGGTTGCAACCAAAGTGAGTCAAGAGGGGAAGAAGTGATCGCTGCGGAGCTGAAAGCCGTGAGACCCGTCAAATTGAGGGGAAGATGGCTGCACAGCTGTTTGGTGAGGCCACTATTGTTAAGCGCTCATTCAGATGTGTGTGTGTGAATGCCTGTTACTTTGCGAGGGTGCTTCACACATGGACTGCCGATTCCCAGTGTGGGGAAAGTGGAGACCACGTGACAGCAGGATAGACGTCTCCATCATAAGGATGGGGGTGCTGTTAAGGGTCAGTGTCACAAAACTGAAGTGTGCTAGCAGAATAGGCAGGGGGTGGGAAGGGAGAATCAGACACAAACATTGATGCAAATAGATGCTGGTTGTGTGTTTCGAATACTGGCAACTCCAGGTTAATATACAGGTTTAGGAAGGAGCAGTCAAGGCCGGGAGTGATGATGCACTGTAATGCCAACCTTTAGGAGGCTGAGGCAGGAGGATCACTTTGAGTTCAAGGCCAGCTTTAGCTATGCAAGTGAATTCAGGGCCAGCCTGTACTACATAGTGAGACCCTGTCTCAAAAATATAAGATAAAATAAAACAATAAAAGAAGCTATCAGCTTTGATGAAATAGCATCTCAAGAAAGCATGAGGCCTCCTTCCCTTAACACCCTAGAAAATGCTTTTCATGAATGCTGCATCTGCTTGAGAGAAATTTGCACTGGAAGACTTTGAAAGGGCCCTCCATAGCTGACTTTATGAACGAAACAGAAACACAGAAGTGTCGCTTGAGTTTCCATCAGCAGTTGGCTTGAGGAACCAAATGTGGTAGGGACATGCAGAGGAACATCACCCAGCCCCAAATCCAGCACACGCTTCATTGTGGACCCTGTAAGGACTTCTGACACAGTAACACAGAGCTGGTCATGGCCGGGGGATGAGTGTTGTGTGAGCAACCCGGAGACATGCGGGCCATTGCAGCAGAGCGTGGCAGGGTGGTCACCGGGACTCACAGTGAAACAGAGATTTTGTGCTGAGGGTTAGGGTTTCAGCTTAGGATGGTGGGCATCCCGGTAGTGGTGGGGGCTGGGCTCATGGCACAGCACTCAACCCCCAGAGATGGTAAAGTGTGAAGACTGCTGGACTCCACTCTGCACCACAATGAAAGGAGAGGATCCCTGTTGCCCAGCTCGGTGGGGGTGGACAGTGCAGCAGCAGTGCTGGCCCTCTGCCTGCTATTCCCTCTTGCTGTGCTGCATGTTGATTTAAAAATAAATAAACTAGCCTTGAAATATCCACCAAAGGCTTTCTAGGGTGTCGGTCAAAAGTTTCTCAAAGGAAATTCCTCTGAATTATTTTGTCTAGTGGTCATTGCCTTTGGAATTGGCTGAGATGAAAGCAATGGAGAACCCTAGAGAAATGAGAACCTTGTGGGCCATTTCACGCTCCACTCACCATGGGTGAGAAGCATGCTCACAAGCCCCGTTTACCTGTCTTCACAGCCTCCAGGACGCTTACAGAAGGTGAAGGCAGCACATCCAATTGTGCTGATCAATGGAGGACAAGCTCATGAAAAGTTCAGCATCAGAGCTTTCCTCTGTCTTTATTAAAAGTCCTCCATGAGAAAACAAACAAGACACAGGGCCTAGTCCCGTGACTTATGGATGCTGTCCTAAAATGCAAAAGGACACGGCTATGAAACTGGCCTGGGTGATGCCTGGACTCTGGATCCCAGGAAGAGAGAGTTTACAGTCACGTTAGGGTGAGCAAACAGGCTGCAGGCTTCTGTGGTGACCAGACGAGAATTTCCTGTAACAAAGCCCTGTGGGTCACCTACAATGGGCAGCTGCTCGCTGCGCAGGCGGATGAAGGGATGGCGTGAAGCTTAGTATCTGGGGTCAGGTGACTTCATATCCTGCTTCCCAGGCCACCACTGACGTGGCTGTGGGCACAGAAGCCCCTGAAGCTGTCATCTGTGATGTGTCTGAATAACACATTTTCAGGGTGCAGTGAGAACTAGGGACCACATTTGTGAGGCAGACAGGCCTTGTCCCCTTAATGCACACCTGCAGAACCCAGGCCCTTACTGCTGTCTGTGACTGGATTGGAGATTTGCTCAGAAGAGCTGACCCTTACAATAATAAATGTGCACTGGGGAAAAGTATGTTTTTTTCTAAACCTTCGAGATTCATGTGGGTTGAGAGCCGTGGTAGCTCTAGCACTGGTATTTTCAGCTGATTTCAGTAATGTCCTCTGGCAATGGGTATATTAACTCTTTGAATTTTTCTGATCATTTTTTCTTGTTCTTTTCTGTTTTCAGAAAATGCCATACAAAGTCCTACTGAAAAATGGCCTTCACTAGAGAGGAAGTCAACACCTTTTGTAAAGTGTTCCATCACTTGATAAGGAGAGTCACAAACAACAGGTACTGTGAAAATACAGGGTATAATTTAGTCATAAAAATAAGAAAAAGTCGGCCACCAGGAAAGTGGCACTGTACCGCTCCTGGGCCTTTAATCAGGTTTCCCTTGGCTGGCTAAGGGCGCCACTACGGAAGCCAGGTTTCGCCCAGTCTCAGGTTGCCGGAAGTTTATCAGATTGGTTGCTCAACTGGCACCTTTTCAGTGGCAGATGACAAAGTCAGCTTAATCTGCCTTTAAAAAAAGGATTGGCGACAATCAACAAAAAACAATATATACAGGACCCCAGGGCAAGGAGAATGTGAGAGCCATGTGACTTTCCTTCCTTTCTCCCTCTTGTTTCTCCTTCCTCCCTCAGCTTCTCTCTCTTGCTCCCTCAGACAGACACACCTCTGCTTCTGTCTGTGCACTGGCCCGATTCTCATACCACTCAGGACTCACCTAGAGTCCTGAGTCTCCCTGTCTACACGGCCTACCACTTGAGAGTGATTTGCCCTTCTGGGCGTTTAAAAACCTAAATCAGAAGGAGAAGAATATTTCATGATGTGTTAACGTACTATGAAACTGACATTTCTGTGTCCAGCCAGCTTAATGGGGGTATAACCAAGCTCTTGCATTAGTTGCTTTTGTACTGTGATGTTGGAGCAGAGTAGCTGTGACAACGTGTGTGACATTTCTCACTTTTCTGCTGCCACACTGTGAACTGCAGTGGCACCACCTTAATACAACTGCATGCTATCTAACCACAGCTGTCCTTGAGCTATGATGTCGCTGTGGTCGGTGCCTGAACCCCCAACCCCTCAAATGCATGTACAGCAAAGGCTCACTGGAAGGAGACACGTGGCGTGGTCTTTAGGGCTGCAGGAGGAGTGAGATCCTTGGCAGAGCTCCTAACCCTGCTAGTCGGCTGGCCAACTGACCCTGGGAAGCCCAGCTTTAATCAGAACAAGCAAGGACTGAGTGGACAATGGAGGAAGCCTGAGCAGGATCTTAGGAGGGGTTCAGGGGCCCCTCAGAGCAACAGACGATGCTAAGTAAGGAAAACCATCCAGAAAGTCTCCAGGTGGCCTCAGCTGTGGCCTGTCTTGTCCCCTGAGGTGTCTCCTCCTCCTCAATTCAGCTGTGCCCGGGCCACGCCACAACCCTGCTTGTGTATGCAGATCCAACGGCTCCAACATGATGTCTTATTTTTCATTACCAGTATGAATATTCATTAGGTCAAAATAAGAAGACAAAACTGGACTGCAAGTTGGGTCACGCTTGCAAGGTAGAGAAGAGTGTGAATGATTTCACTGGATTCGCGGCAGACCTTTGTGTTAAGTATTCAGTGGCTGAGCTAAACAAGTACTACATAGGTTGAAGTTGTTAGTTGTTAGAGTAAACAATCAGCAATGTTGTCCTTTCACAGGAAAAATAGAACTTGCAGAATGGAATGTCTTAGTAGGTAGAAGCTCTTCACCAAAAGGAAAACAAGGGTGAAAATTAAGTCTGCAAATGGTTAATTCATTAGCTAAGCAAGGACAGCTATTTATCAACAGTGATTCAGTCAAATCATGTTTTGTTGCAGGAGTCAGATAAACATGTCTTGAGATACTAAACTTATTTAAACCTTTTAGTCTTGTGGTAGAACCAGCTTCCCTACTGAACTGAGGTGCAAGAAATACAATGTAGTCAATTTGAAAGTGAGATGAATGTGGCCTCCTTAGCTTTGGAAGCAGTCAGCCAGTGATACCAATGCTGCTCAGCTCTGGGTCGTTTGTGGCGCTGTGCTGACCTGGAAGTGTGTGAAGGATTCACCCCATCAGCAATCTGCGCAGAAGGGCTGTGGCTGAGGGGAATTCAAAGTGGGTGCAAACATACTAAGCTGGCACAGCCTGAAGTGGACCCTGCCACCATCTTACAGTGGTAAAAAGACAGTTGATATAGGGAGACCAATTAGTTGGACAAACTTAAAAGTCATTTCTGGAAACTGATGGCTATTCATTAATTTATTCATCAGTAGCTTCTTGTTGGAAAATATTTGAAAATATTCAAACATTATGATGAATTACTTACATTAACTTCATCCCGTCTACAGGGCTTAACCCATGAATTTTTGACAGAAAACAGCAAATATCAGAGGAACTCAGAAACCAATGCACCAAAAGCTGGTGCTGTGACCTGCGGAGAAGCCTTTGACTCTCCCTTGGGGCACAGGGACCTTGGGTCTCCCCTCTTTTGCCCCTCCTGGTGCAGAGAGGCTGTTGCAGAATTCTTGTCTGCCCAAGGTCTACATCTGCCAAAGGAGAAGCAGTCACCCAAGGGTCCGTGACTGAACCTGTTTGTGAGATCAAAGGCTGTGGGCACAGCTGGACAGACCTTTGTCAACACACCTGCCCTCTCCCTCAGTCCCTTAGGGGTCACTGGCAAACTTAATGAATCGTTGTGTATTTACTGGGCCTAACAGGCTTTGTTGTCTCTGTCGTGTGTTCCAGGCCCCCTGAGCTGCTCTCGCTCACTGTCTCTGAGGTTTTCTGTAGAAGATGGAGGAGATAAACTTCCCAGTTACACTGGGCTGTTGGGATTATACTTCTGTGATATTTTCCTCTTCTGCAAATTAATAAATTAGCGTAGCTTTGCTTCTACTTAACCGGTGTTTTTTGGTTGATTCCACTAATCCTTAGAGGTAGAGGATTACTTTCCCTTCACCTTTACAGATCCTGAATTGCCCCAGCTCATGTCTGCCCTGTGAGTAATAGTAAAGTTTTATTGCAGTTTTTGAGCTCAAGGCCAAGACTCAATTTCTGAACAAACAGAACTGTATTTACTCCCACAATCAAATGTGAATAGCTTTAGAAACCGGCTTCTGCTGTGGACTTGGTAGTGTTTCTTGAAGAATTCATCCTAAAGGTATAAAGGAAAATCACACCTGCAATTTTAAACCACAACAAAGCCAGTCAGTAACAGCTATTCTAGTTTACATCCTAATAATGGCAAGCTGCCTCACACATTTCTCATACTGTCACGCTTAAAATAAGAAAAATTATCCTCATTCCCAGACTTGTAGCACACACATGTAAGATACAGTTCCTGTACTGCCTCCCTAGTCCTGATGCAAGCGAGAGAGAAATGTCCGTGTTTCACAACTGTTTTCCCTGTGCAGTTAGGAGGTCCCGCAACTGGAAGTGGTGAGGCTGACGGGAATGTCACCCTGAGAAAGGAGCGTCCTGTGAAGCAATGAATGTTCTCGGTAAAATTTTGCTGCCCGGGCAGACGCAGGGGTTTGCAGTGCCTGTCTATGCGGAAGGATCTTTCCAGGATGAAACACACAACATCTCATTGCAGAGCAGCATCAAGAGAGGAACATTTACAATTGACTCTGATGAATTGGCTACAAAATAAAATGTCATCCCACGAAAAGAATTCTATTACTTTCAGTAGCAAGTCTATGCTATAAAAAAGTGTTCTGCTCTTTTTATGCTTTGAATTTTCAACAAAATGCCATAGAAATGTATCTTCTAAGTACCAAGAGCAAGCCCTTGGTTTTGCCCCTTGATCACAGAACCTGAGGTCTTTACTATCTGATTCTTTAATGAAAAGTTTTTCCAGTCATTTCTCAAGAAAAAAAAAAAAAAAAAGAAGTTCTTCCTATTCCAACTAGATAGGTTTTTTCCCTCGGTACTGGGGGTTGAACTCATGACCTCACACTTGCCAGACAGGCGCTTGTGCCACTGAACTAAATCCCCAGCCTTTCTAACCAGGTAGGAAAGTAAAAAATTGGCCCAGCTTTGCCGATGGCAGACTTGAATCCAGGCGTAGGCACACATGTGATCAACAGGACGAAAACGAGATTGCACCAGCTTGACCCACCTGTCCCCTCTGCAGCCAGGAGATGGGACAAAAAGAATCAGAGCAAGTTGTTGTCAGGAAGTCAGAGGAGGAGGAGGAGGTTAGCTTCAGAACCACAGAAAGGAAAATTAAGAGCTCATTGTAACTGTAGCCAACATCGCGACAATCCCCTTCCCAACACAGACATTTTAGAAATAAGTGTATCTACACATCCTAATTTAAAAAGAAAACATTCATTGGATTTTGATTTGATGACAGCTGCAGTGGAGAATATAAAAAATATGACACAAAGGTGTGGAAAATATGAACTGGAAGCCGGGAATGGTGGTGCGATGCCTGTCGTCCCAGCACTCGGGAGGCTGAGACAGGAGGATCATTGCAAGTTCGAGACCAGCCTGGGCTACAAAGTGAGCTCAAGGCCAGCCTCAACTGCATAGTGAGACCCTGTCTCAAAAAGACAGGAAAAAAAAAAGAAAGAGAAAAAACAAATATGAAATGGAAGATAAAACAGGCAGAATAAAGAACGTGAGGATTCAGCACAGGTCTGAAAGAATCCTAGAATGAGAGAATGGACAGAAATGACCGAAGGAAGAAACTGTGCCTCATGTTTTTCAGAATGAAAATAAACCATGAATCTTCTATCTAACCAAACATACAATGAACAGAGGTCCACACCAAGGTACTCTGACCAGAGGAACTACAGTCAAACTCAAAAAGGAACGCCTAGAAGCTACCCCAGGGGACACCACAGGAACTTCAGTGGAGAACAGCTAGGCTGAAGGACAAGCCCTCCACCAAACACGGGAGCCTCAGGACAGTGAGAGAGCATCAGAACGCTAGGGGGAGTAATGGTCCACCCTGATGCCACACCCAGCTGGTGTCGCACAGAAGCCACAGGCTTTGGTTCTGGCCTGAAGCTGACACTGACAATCTTACTTCCAAAACCAAGGCTTCCGCCACATGCCTCTTGCTTTCTGATATTTATTCCTTGCTCACTGTGATGGTGATTGTGTCAACTTGAGAAGTTTAGAAGTTTAACTAAATCAGCTCAACAATTCTAAACCCTCGGGTGTAGAGGACCTGGATGGTATAAAGGAGAATGAGGGAGGACCGACCCGCTTCTGCTCTTCGGAGGAGTTCTAGTCCTTGCCCTCAGCTTGGACGTCCTCGCCTGGCTTCTGTGCTGACCCCTTGGCTTTCTGATGTAGGCTGGCACCGGACACTGCAGGAAGCTCTGGACCTTGGGCTCCCTTCGGCTCCGGTGTGCAGACACCCTCTGCTCACTTCCTCACCCGACTCCGTGGCTGACCTTGGGAAGCCATTCTTCTGATTTCTTGCACATTTGTGTACCTCATGTTACATTTGTTTCTCTAGTAAAACCCCGACTGATACACTCACTAAACAAACATTTATTTCAACTGGGGTCCTATCAGAAAAACTATAACTACTTAAAATGTTCAGATATTCACTTGTGTCCAGAGAAGGAGAGTCAGGGGCCAGTGCTGAGGACAGGACAGTGGGAGGGGCGGCCCTGGAGGTCCAGAAGGAGGAGCTGGCTCCTGCTGCTTGGGGGACAATGGAGAGAGGGTTATGAACAGGCTGACTTCTCCTGCCTCTGGGACCCAGCCTCCCCTTTGCTCCCCCACTACCTAGGAGAGGGAGATCAGGTGTGGTGCCCAGGGACTTCACCTGCTTTCCTTCTCCTGCTCCTCCCACTAAGCTAAACAAATCCCATGGACCTTCTGTTTCCAGGAATGCACATGGCCCTGCATTTAACCCTCTTCTCTCTTTGTTCCCTGAAGCCCCTCATTATCTGTGTTGTCTCCAGCAAATGCCTCCTCTTCCGTGGAAGTGCTTCTGATCCCTGGATGGAAGCCATCCCTTTCAGCTTGGAATCCACCGAGCGCTGTATTTCTGGGTCACTGAAGCTTTCAGGGAGCTTGGTTGTAATGATCATGCCCAGGCTTACTTCTCCCGACAGACCGAGGTTCTGACAGGTGGAGAGTGCCTTGGTCCTCATCTATTTTTGCATTTCCCAGCTGCCTTTATGATGAAGGCATAGCTCAGTGTTTTTGGAGGGTGATTAACATTGTAACTCAAAAAAGAGGTGTCATCCAAAAAGTAAAAGAAGCGCTTTATTTAAGCCAGCAGCACAGGTACTGTGGGGGTGCAAGGCTGTGCAACATGGGCGTGTTTTTGGAGAGTTTATAAAGGGAAAAACTACAAGGGGGTGGGCTTGTGTGAACAGGTAGTTAAGCACTGGAAATGCTGACCAGTGATCATTGGATTCTGGGAACATGTGTTTTACAATCAGTGGTAGGCCAATTCCAGGAACATGTGTCTTTCTTGGAAAAGGGGAGTTTTATGGGAAATAGAAGTAAAAAAAAAAAAAAAGGTCAGGATAATGATGCATATAGAACAGGATGGCGGCGCTTTGGTTAGGTTACAACATTCCCCACTGATTTTAGTCGTGAGTCAATTCATTGGCTCATGGGAGAGAACTTCAGATAAGGGTATTTGTTCATATCCTTGTGTTCTTAGGATCATCAGTTTAACAGTTTGCACTCACTCTTGAATATAACGCATCAGTTCATTTATAACACATGATCCAATTGTAACACAGGTGAAGAGTATCATTATGGGTCCTGCAGCTGCTGTTATTAAAGCAGTCAACCAAGGAGAAAAAGAGAACCATCATTCAAACCAATTTTATTCTGCTTGGCTGGGCTTTTCTCTTTCTAATAGTCTCTTCTTTAGATCTGCCATATTCTGTCTGATAACACCAGAGTGGTTGGCATAAAGGCTACAGTTATCCCCTAGGACTAGGCATAGAGCTCCTTCTTTTAGGAAGAGGAGGTCAAGGCCTTGCCGGTTCTGCAGGATCCTCTGCAAGTGAATTTAGGCAGTCCTCCAGGTTTTGAGACTGAGTCACTGAGAGTGCTAGGTCCCAGTCAATTAGTGCACTGAGATATTTGTAATTTGTATCTCCCACAACTAGACTAGATATGCCTATCCCCACAGAACCTGCCATACCCATTCCCAATAAGACAGGGATGAGTACAGGGTTGCCCCTCTTGCTTCGAGGGTAGTCTTCAGGGTCTAAGTGGGGGAAGATATGGCTTCTTCCATTGTCTTCAGAATACTAATATACTTGGGGAGGGTTATGCACCAAGATACAGAGCTCTGGTTGCATTGTAAATATGTGATGCATAGCACAAGGGGTTACGCCCGAAATACAGGCGAACCAGGTGCCATTATGGGGCAACAAGGTGCTGACTTGCAGGATAGGAGAAGTTAGAAATTTTAAGTGTGGAGGTGGTGTTTGTTGCCAAAACCTCTCCAGTATTAGTCAGTTATTTTCCAGGTCCCATGAAAAGGGGTGTGTGAATGACCCCTTGGGTTTCCTAAGCGGGGGGGGGGGGGAGGCATAGGAGCAGGAGAATCAAGTACATTTGGTCAATTTAAGCTTTAAAGGGTCCTTTGAAGGGATAATAGTCCACTTATCTGTAGGCTTGTCATCTTCAGAGAGTGGGATTAACTTGAAGTGGGAATGATGGATCCAGGCAGGTTTCCCAGCGACCTTGACAGCAGTTGGGGTGCTGAGAACCACAGCGTATGGGCCCTGGCAATGTGGTTTGAGAGACTCCTGGTGATGTCTCCTGATGAGGACCAATGTTCCAGGTTTCGCTGCAGGGCTTTTGTCCTGGAAAGGGTGCAGGCAGAGGGTGTTGTTGGTGAAACAGTCGGGGGACAGAGGTCAAAACCGGCTGAAGGACTTGGAGAGACTTAATAAGATCTTTTCTTTCTTTCTTTCTTTCTTTCTTTCTTTCTTTCTTTCTTTCTTTCTTTCTTTCTTTCTTCCATTTTATTGGAGAGATAGGGTCTTACTA